GATTTAGGGATTGGGTACAATAGACCTCTGGTCGATGTGCCCTGCCCATCCTCTAAATCTAATCTAATATAAACCCAAAGTGGTGCCTCTTTCTGTACTGTACTTAGGTTTCAATGACATATTTAAAATCTAGTCATTCATTTGTGCTAATCCTGTATACACTAAAAAACTATTAATTAATGGTCATAACCTAAATAATTTTAGAAATGAGTTGCTTCTTTAGTTACATTAATAGCTGTCACATAAATAGGACAGTGGGTAAGGCACTGAATTGCCATTGTTCTTTTGGCAGTTTTATATGTAAGTGGTTACAGTTAATAAAAATTTTTATTGCCTATTATTCTTCAATTTTTTATTTTAGAAATTCAAACTAATAAATAACAATAAGAATATAAAACTTTATATTTATTGTGTAATATATATTTTAGAAAAAATGTGTAAGTAAGGAAACTTTGACTCTTTTAAGGTCTGTTAATGTTAAGTTATTTGCTTAAAATTTTGAGGACAATTTTAGAATGTCATTTGACATAATATTTACTGTTATGCATGTTATTTTAGAAAATTATTATTATTGGTTTAAATAGTTATAATTATAACTAATACTCAGAGTTCGATTACTTTTGCATTTTCAGACATTTTTTCTCTTTCAGGGCATTTGAAAGCTTTTTTAAGTTTTTTGGGTACTCTTTTTTTTTTCTTCATGATTTCTTTGAATTTTTTTATTATTTTCAGGTATGCACCAATCACATCAATCAGTGTTTTCATTGCAGAGAAAATATGGGTGAGAATTTCTCACCCTTTCTCAAAAACAGGGTGAGATTTCTAAAAATTAAAAAACAAAAACGTAAAGAGACATGANACTATTAGAAAAATTAGCAGAGGACACTACCACTACAAGTGACACCAGAAGTGAAGTTACAGTTCTGTTGCAAAATATACTAACTTTTAGTTTCATAACAGGGGCGCCCATATGTTTGAATTTAGGGGGGGGCTCATGAAAGAAAACGACAAATAGCTTGATGAATTAAAAAATTAATGAAAGGAAATTTTATCTATTTAAATATTTTTAATTTAATTCGCTGAATAATTAATTAATTTCACTTTTAATTATACATGATTAATCAAATACGCATATGTTTCATTATTAATTACAATAACACATTGGT